GGCCACATGTGAAATTCCTATCTGGGCTAGCTGAGTCACATGGGAGGAAGAATCTTGGGAACTGTACTAGTCACATTCCCACAAAGCTATTTTTTTTGGTTCTTTTGTATGTTCTCTACATGTCATGTCCGGAAGCCAAGCTAATGGCAAATTAACATCTATATATAGCACTGACATCCGTGTTTGTTTTGTTCAAACTGGAGACACTAGCCTCAAGGCTCCTCAAAGTTCCACAGAAGAATGTCATAATCCCCTCATACAGTCCTTCTAACGGCTGACTTTTCCTGCCCCAGATCCTAATATGCACTTAGGGGACATGAAATACTCATTATATTGCATCTGCTGTTGCCCAAGTTAACCCACCGAACCCCAGTGGGATAACGGACACTGATTTCGAGTGGAGAAGCTAAGACTTGGGGCCTCAGTTACCTGCTTGACTGGTAAGAGATAAAGCAGACACTCGGAATCCAAGTCTCCCTCAGTGGATGCCATGTGACTGAGACATATCAGCAATAGGGTTCCAGGCCACACAGCACCAGGTAGGGCTTCTAAATGGTACAACCGAAAACCTTATCTAAGAGTAAAACTCTGTTGACAAGTTTCCATACACACTTCCTTTACAGGACTGAACGTTTTCTAAAATGGAAAAGAAAGTTCCTATCTGACTGTGAAGTTTGTTCTTTTACTTGTTAAAAAAAAAAGAAAAGAAAAGAAAAGAAAAGAAAAGAAAAGAAAAGAAAAGAAAAGAAAAAGGCCAGATCACCATCCCTTAAAACAGACCTAGCAGGCATTGATGTGCAAGTCAACTGGAGGTTACTAATTCTTTTTAGTAAAAGCCCCTCCCTACCATAGAGAGATCTGTCCTCAATCCCTACATTTTAGCTTCTAGAGAAAAACTCCCACCCCCTACTGGATACCTCAGTGCCATCAGGCAGAGAAGCAACAGGGCAGATAATGTGGCTCTGGAGGTGCCCAAAAGAGGGGTGTGGGCAGGACAAAGGGGTTGGTTAGCTCACGGGCAGGGAGGGTCAGTGGATGGGGTAGTGAGCTTTAAGCAGTAGGTCCTCCCTCCTGAACTCCTATCCCCAAATCTCCATTGTGAAAAAGAACGTTCACCTTGAGAAACCTAGCATCGAAGCATGGTTTTGCTGTGTTCTCCTACTCATAATTCTGGACTAAACTAAAACTGGATTCATAAAGCAGTAAGTTTGCTGTTTCTTTGAAGTCAGGCTGGGTATAAAACTCAAATCTAGCAAAAGATAGAAACCCTCATAAGGCTTTGGGCCTGCTTTCTGCCAGCCGGAAGCCTATGACTTATGAATTAAAATGCAAATGTAGGGGTAAACGTGGGGGTGGGGGCCACAGTGTGATCAGGAAGAGGTTAAAATATAATGGTGGCTCATCCTACAGTCAAGTAGAACAGTACTTTGAAAATGACCTCCTTCCTTTCCAATGGTATCTCCCGGAGGCAAACAGTGGCTAAAAGTCTATAAAAATGCAAGGTCGGCTCTCAGGTCCCATGCCTGTAAACGCCACAACTCATCTGAGTCACCACAGGAGGAGGAAGGGACCAGCAAAGTGCGTACCTTTCCACATTATGAAAACTGCTCTGTCTCAGGGGAAGATCAAAACTGATGGCCACAGCTGAAAAGCCAGTGACACCCGTGTGGTCCATTTTTGGTGGCTCATTACCATCTCCCAGTCAGAGTTACTTCCCACCCTGACTTAAAACTCAAGGACTATCTAGTTATGATTACTAACAGAGAAAAGTAGGCAGCTAACCTCTGGCAGAACAATTAGTGAGTAATTTCCAAGTGAATTCTGTGGAACAGTAATGCAACATTAAAGACAATGAATTTAGGGGAGAGAGAGTATCAGCTTCCCCCTGAGCTGTAACAGGCTTCTGTTTTCTGTGACCCATTAGGGCTACACCTGACCTTAGAGACCAGCAGCAGTTAGCTATTGATTAACTACTGGCTCTTCCCAGGGCATTATGCTCCACTAGGGCAGATTCTGGAAATAGTTCCTGGTACTAGATGTACCTGAGTCCAGAGACTACCAGCAGAAGGTTTTGAAGGGCAGAAGGTTTTAAAGGGATACCCAGGGCCCCATGTGCTCACACTTCCTGGAGGTCAGATGTCGTTCTCTGTGCATCTGATTTTCTTCCTTCACGAAGTCATGAGTAGTATGGGAATGGCGGGGTGGGGGGGGGGGGGGGGTGGTGTGGTGCAGAAATCAACCTAAGTGAGGTGCCTCAAGAGGGCTACTGATCCCCAACCTAGCCCCGAATTTAGAAATACCAGCTATTAGTTTCTGTCAGAAACATTACTTCTGAAATGACACAACAGGCAGGAATGAATTGGTTACTATTGCTTCTATTCTCACTGTCAGGAAACCCAATGACACCATTTTAAAATCTTTTTTGGAGGGACTGAAAAGGAGAGAGCCAGCATATAAAGCAAAAAAGCTATTTGATGGAAAAATTTGAGAAGCAAGTGGTTAAGTCTGTTTTATTTACGTCTGTTTCAAAAAGTACAGGAGGATAGCATTACATGAGCTTTTTTCAGCTCTCAGAGTAAGAGAGCTTCCCTATGTCACAGATCCCTCACAGGACAGTGCAGAGTGTTGAGACACTGAGGGTCTGTTCCACGAATGCTCAAGTATTTAATAAACAAACAACAGTGAAAAGGATCCTAAAATACACTCTTATCAGAAGGGACAATCCTAAATAAGGAGTTTTGAGAGAGTGTCAATGACGTAAGTATACATGAGCTGATGGGTAAACTGAGGACTGGAGCAGTATAAAACCTGGAACAGAATTTACAGCTCCTCATCTTGGTGTTCTTTCAACTATCCTCTCCTTTCAGGGAGCTCACAGGAGAGTTTAGGGTCCAGAAGTCTTTCTAGAAGGTGAATAGTAAGCCACGGAAGACAAAAGCATTCCTATGTTGGCAAAAGGTCTGTGGTAGGTGGGAGTTCACTCACCTGGAATCTTCGATAAGGCTTAAGAGAGTCAACACCAGCAGGAATTAGCAAGTGGAGAGAAAATGAAGAGGAAGGACAAAGCCTGAAGAATGAAGATGGGAGCAAGGAGAGGATGGAAAGACAGCAAGCGGGGAGAGGCAGGAGAAGGCAAAAAAATGAACAATTTAACATTGTGCGGTTGCGAGCCTGTAGTGGGTGCTATTGATTATAAACGGTCATTAGACAAAGCTTCTCCATTTCATGTGACGCTGTAGCTTATTTCCTCCACGCATCCTGCCAGGACACTTTCCATCCAAATTCAAAGGGAAGAAGGCCAACAACTGAGTCACCATGACCATTTCCTGCAGCACCTGGGTTTTCCTTGGAGGTTTCCCATCCAAATACTCGACTTCTCTGACCTTACTTCACTTATGAGGCCATGGTCCAAAGCAGCAAAAAAAAAAAAAAAAAAAAAAAAAAAAAAAAAAAAAAAAAAAAAAAAAAAAGGACACCCACACACAGACGCACAGCTCGGAGAGGAGATCTGAGATGAAAACCTGCCTCCTCTTCAGTGGTAAATTCTATCTTGATGTAAAACCTCAAGATATGAGAAAAAGCATCAGGCACATCAGTGCAACACACCAACAGACACTTAAAAACACTCTCAGTCAACACTCACTCGTCCTTACGGAGGAGGGGGAGATGGTAAGGTGTGGCCATGTGCTCACAGGTCGGCCAGGCTCCTTTCCAGCCTTCTGAACTGCCTATAAAAATCTCTTTCCACAAGAGCCATGGGGGTGGTTTCGCTTTCCCTTCAAACCACTTTAAAATGAAACCCACCTAATCTGTAAAATATCCTGGTCAAGTCTGAGATTTCACCAATCTGTACATAGGAACTGTTCACAAGGATCCCCAGAACAATAGATCGTTGTCTTTGGTAACATGGAGCCCCAGCGTTCAGATGCAACCCAGATGCGAAAACACACTTCTGCAGAAAGTGACGAAGGGCTCCCTTTTTCACATCAAAACTGCACGTGCGAGTTTTGTCCACTTTCGTTCTACATTTGGTGGGAATATTTTTTCCACACTCGACAAGTCACTTTTTGCCTAAGCCTGTATTCTGAACCTTTAAAATCCCCCTGAATTTAAGTCACAAAGACTATTAACTTGCATTTCTCTCCCAATTCCACATTTCCTATTCTTAAATCTTCGTCTGTTTGCTCAATCACTGACAGATAGAATAGAGCAAGGGTGAATGAACGAATGAATGAATAGAACAGCCACAGGGACAATAAGTACAGTCCCTTTTTAGAAACGAAAGGCTTCTTTCTGCATCCAGCATTTCCTGCCTGAGATTCTGTGGGTGGTGTTAGCAAGGCCAGAAACGCACAGGGTCACCATTCAGCACCCAGCGGCCTTGAGAATAAGGAAACTTCACCATGGATACCACCCTAGGACCTCTGGTGACAGAAACAGCAAGAAGGTAGCCTGTTATAGGGTGCTCTAGTCCACAGGATGATCACACGTGCCATTGGTAGAGTGAGACCTCCAGGCATGGCTCCAACTGTCCCACAGAGAACACCCAATGGTGCAACACCAATGTTCATCCATGGCTTCAAAAAGCAGAAACAAATTACGTTTCCTAAGCCACAGTGTGGGTTACCTTATCAAAACCATCTATGCAGAATGGCCCTGAGCACTCAAGATAACAGAGCAGTCGATTTATAATACTAATTGATGGCTGGCTGGGCACCAGGGACTCCATAATAGATTAAGACCCTGTCTTTTCTTTCAGTAGAATTTCTTGCAAATAAAGCAAGTACATACATTTAATGCAATCTAATACAATTCATTATGCGACTTTAGTCTGTCCTGCTTTTCCACAGTCAATACTATAGGGTTAAACTTTTCTCTATTTACGTTCTTTCCTCCCCCATCTGTTTAGTGCATCTTAAAAAAGCATAAAGTGGTTATTTGTTCAGCAACTTTGTTTCTGCAGTGGCGTTTTAGTTGGATGGATATGAAAATATGCTTACCTCATCCCATTCTAAAAGGTAGTTGGTGATTTTTGAACCATTGTCAATTGGTGCCTGAAAAGAAGAAAAATAGTAAAATGAGATGAGAGAAAGCTGTTCACAGACAAAACTTAGGAGCTACCCACTTGATTCAAATACAGTACCTATGCTAGTCCTGTGCTCTCCCCTAAGAGGGATCACCCCAGTGGCTCCTGCATTTCCTTGGGAAACATTACCACAAATGAATTTTAATACAATTCAACTGTAGAGAAAGCCCCCCCCAACCCCAATAATAAATCATGTCCCACACAAAGAGCCAAACCTGCTTTCCCCACTGCCTCTACCTTTACACCTACTTGGTGCCCTACTTCCTCTGGGGATAAAACTTTCAAGAAGCACGTTAAGAAGGGAGAGATTAAAAAGGAAGCTGAGAAACTTAGATGCTGCTTGGAGTCTTGCGGGGGTAAATCTGACCCAGCTAGGTTCAGGGTCAAGAGTCTATAGTTTTGTAACTTCCTCCATACAGTTGCTTTTTTTTTTTTTTTTTTTTTTTTTTTTTTTTTTAAGTGCTTAAGATTAGAGAGCCTTTTGTGCCACTGAGATTTCCCTTAAAAAAAAAAAAAAAGAGGAAAAATGATGAGATCCCCTGAGAGATTACCAAGAGCAATTAGCCCTTCACATGTTAGCAAAAAGAAGTTTCATAATTTGCTTTCCTCTTAAAAGCATGCTGAGGTCTATTTCACTAAGAAACAGGCCTTGGACAATGGGAAGGGGGGCAGAAAACTTTGGAGACGAGTGCTGTGCAGGGTTAGGCCTGCCAGAAGGGGGTGCTGCAGGGAGCAGGCAACGAGAAGGAAGAGGAGACCACTCCCTCATTGCACAAATGTGTCTGGGCCTGGCCCCTTCCCCAGGAAAGAGCTGGAGCCCCACAAACGGCACTGTCCTACCTAGTAAAGGGCAGCCAGGTCACTGGAGTTACACTAAAACCCGGCTTGGCTGTTTGTCATGTGTGGTCTTTTGTTAGGCCCTTAATATCATTGTTTAATATTGTGTTCCAAGAATAAATGGATGCGACAAGTAATTGGGAGAATATATATATCAATCACCTACCCGATACCAGGTACTGAGGAAGCACTCAGTAAACAATAGCGGTTGTTTTATTTTGGCTAATAATAAAACGACATCAAGGGCTCAGTAAATATTAGTCAAATTCATAAAGAAACTCTTCTCCCTCCTTTCCTTCCTTCCTTCTCCTTTCATCTTCTGAGTCATATAATCTGAGTCTCAAAGCCAGATTTCAGGGGAGTGCTGTATGTCCTACTGAACCGTAATTTCAGGCTTTTGTGGGCTCAATTTGGTAGACAGGGATACATCTGAAGTTCTAAGTAATGGACACAATCAAAGTTTTAGATGAGAACACATTTCTAAGATAAGAACTACATTTATGATGTTTACAAATTTTGCTAGAGAAACTGTTCTTTCAGTAGTTTCTTCTATGATACACTTCCTGCCCCACCACCGAGTTCTTAATTCCTTGAGGGTGGGAACACCGACTTTGGTTTTTGTATTGCCCAATCTCCTATTGCTGACTAATAAGAAGAAGTTAGATCTTGCACTCTCTCGATGTTTTCCTGGATTCAAGGGCAGCTGGGCAGTGACAGCACTGTCCCCTGTCCTTGTGCCCCTCAGCTAGAGCACTGTGATCAGGAGATCTGTTCTAAGGACATTTAAGCAAACACTGAACTGAATCCAGAACTTTCAAGTTTGTACATGACTTAGTGGAACAAATGTATGTTTCTGATCTATAATTAAATTAAATAAAAGGAGAAAGAAAATGTGAAATACTTTCGTCCTAATAAGTAAACTTTTTCTTGAAGATGCTGGTCTGCCAAAGACCTGAATTTCATCCAGGTTTTAAGCAGAGTATGTATCAGTGATTCCCAACTTTAGGTTTATAAGACCCCGGGGTCCCTCTGGCAATCTTAAGAAGATTTCTTATATTTTGCAAACAAAATGAATTTTAATTCTTTTCTTTAAAAAAGATATGCTTATGTGCGTATACGTGCAAATAGAGAACATGTTTTAAAATGTGTATCTCCAAGGACTGAAACAATGACGACCGGTTAGTTGAGTGTTACAACTCGGAAAAGGTAGGGAATCACTGACCTGGATTATCCCTGGAAGCCAGGAAGGAAAATAAAATAGTTCAGATTCTAAGCCAGTCTAAGCTTTGCCTTTGCCAAGTAACATACTCCATGTTGGCCAGTGCCTATGAGAACGCAGCCCACACGAGAGGGGTCTCCAGAAGCCCATGCTTTGCTGCTAACCACTACTCTCAATGGCTTTTATGGATGCCCTGGTTAAATTCAACCTCCTGGTCTAGGAACCAAAGGACAAAATATATCTTTACCAATAAGAGACCTCCCTAGCCATCTTATTTCTTTTACACATTAGTGTATTCCCCAAACACCACAAATTTTTATCTCTACCTCTAAAAATTCACATCTTAAACACATTTTAAAATATAAACAGAGAGGGGTGTCTGGGTGGCTCAGTCGGTTAAGCATCCGACTTTTGCTCAGGTCATGATCTCACGGTTGGTGCGTTCGAGTTCCCCATTGGGCTCTCTACTGTCGGCACAGAGCCTGCTTTGGATCCTGTCCCCCTTTCTCTCTGCCATTCCCCCTCCAAAAAAAAACAAACATTTAAAAAATATATAAACATAGAGAAATAATTACTATAGATATTGATAACAGAATCTACTGTTTTCTTGCAAACACACAACTGTGACTAATGAGCTAACAATACACCTTTAGGACCTCTCTTTGGCAGGAGCGATTTGTAGTCAGTGAACTGTATTTTATGAAAACTACTATATAACTTAGACTTTAAAAAATAATTGGTAATCCTAATAGATCTAAGGCCTAGTTAGTAAAAACGAATTAAGTCTTAATGTAGTTTAGAACACTAAAAATTCTAGGCAGTTTTAAATATTAAACATTTCAGAGTTGCCACTGAAAGAAGCCAATGGAGCCCAAAACTTACTTTTTTCTAAATCTTTCTTTATAAAAACTTTTTACTAAAGTCCTCAACTGTTTCCTGAAATGAAGTAAACCATTAGAAAGCGATGAAATTCAGGGGCGCCTGGGTGGCTCAGTCATTTAAACGTCTGACTCTGGATTCTGGCTCAGGTCATGATCTCATGGTTTGTGGGATCGAGGCCCTGCAACAGGCTCAGAGCCTGCTTGGGATTCTCTCTCTCTCTCCCTTTCTCTTTGCCCCTCCCCCACTCTTGCTCTCTCTCAAAATAAATAAACTTAAAAAAGTGATGAAATTCAGTTATCTAAGTATTTATATCACCTATAAGGCATTACTTATGATTCTAAAAGATTTATCCCTGCAAAGAGAGCTAAATGTTTTTTAAGTGTATTTTTTTTTTTTTTTTTGAGAGAGAGAACGCAAGGGAGGGGCAGAGAGAGAGAGAGAGAGAGACAGAGAGAATATCCCAAGCAGTCTCCGTACTGTCAGTGTAGACAATGATGCAGGGCTCAAACTCACAAACTGCGAGATCATGACCTGAGCCAAAACCAAGAGTCAGATGCCTAACCGACTGAGCCACCCAGGTGCCCTGAGAGCTCAAACTTCTTTTTGTAGTTCCATCTACTACCGCTCTGCCCAATTTTTATAGACATACCGACTTTTGATATCATAAAGATTTGTTTCACACAGTTACTATGTAGAAAATCTAACACCATCACAAAACTGGAGTAATGCTAAATAAAAATTTTTCAAATGGCTACTCTTCACATTGTTCCCGACACTTTGAGCTACCCACCTTCCATTGCAAGGTTAGTGAACTTTTGCTCCTGTGTGCCAGCTTAGGTGGGAAGGGACATTCAGGTGCGCAGCTGTGGGTGGTGAAGCTAACTGGCTCGGAGCAGGATCCCTTTACGGAATTGTACATGGCATATACCCTGAAAACAAACAGACAAACAGTCAGTGGCAGTGGCCCATCACAGATGACCAGGGTTTTTATCTGTGCTTTGCCCCAGGCCTTTTTCCAGAGAGGAACAAAATTGAGGTGCTGCACACCATGACTCCTTCTTATCTCCTGGATGTCCTGACCTAACTATGGCCAGCATCTCCAGGGGATAATCACCCCAGCAGGGAATGTGCCTCAACTCATTCTCTCCTTCCATTAATTGTCAGAACCCTCAGCCCCAATTAAGATAGGCTGGGTCTACTGACTGGAAAAGAATATGCTGAATAAGAAAACATCCTTATCCCCAAAGTGGTCTTCAAATATCCATTCTAAAACCATGAACCACTCCCCAGCTGACTCTGTCTGGAAGAAGACTGAAAGGAGAGTTAAGGGTTGGCCGAAAAGGGACAAGCCTACAAACTAGAGAAGAAGTATACACAATGGGGTAGAATAGATAACATCTTTAAACTGTTGATAACACTGCAGATATTTGGGAGAAATACAGACGGTGTGCTTGTTACTGCCAAGTGCATCTCTAACTCAACAAAAACAATGTTCAGGTACAGCTTATCCATGTGAACATTTCACTTTTGCACCTGGCGCCGAGATTAAAGATGGGTACTCTGCACATTAAAATGCCTGGCTCAACACCGAACATATGGGTCTGATTTCTCCAGAGAAGCTATGAAGAAAAAGCACATAATGTGCTATTATAAAACTATACTTCTTTCAAATATCCTAAAATAGGGCTATGTTGATTTTTATCATCTTCCTTTCCATTTTTCCATTTTTAAAATATTCAGCATTAAAAAAATCCCAACGTGAAAACCTACTCGTTTTAAAAGACAACAAAGAAACTTTTGCGGCCTAAAAAAGATGCAAGGATTCAAGCTATTCAGAACTGGCAAATACATCAAGCCCTTAATTTGTGAGGCCCCATTAAAGACAGAAGAAAACTCAGAATCCAGCGGGGAAGTAAACTTTCCAGAGCTACACGGCTAGAAAGTTGCCTCAGCTGAATGCAGCCGTGTAAATCTAACTGCTGTCCTCTATTGCCTACCGTCCTTACTCATCCTGCAATTATGCTTCTCTGAGCACCCACACTCCACCTCCCCTCACTCTACTCAGCGAACATAAACAAGAGCTAAAGATAACGACATTATGGAAAACAGGACCTAATTAGGTGTGTGATTTGCAAAGTCCCTTCTCCTCAAGGTCTATCACAAAGAATTTATAGAGGTCATGCAAGTTAAAATCACTAATGCTATCTGCCACCCTGAAAGGTAAGAGACAGATGACTGGATATTTGATTTCTTTGTCTTAGGGGAGGACACCACAACATCTGATCCAAACAAATACACTTACTAGGATGCTCTTCACCCAACCTGATGAAACCAAATGTTCCCTTTTGCATGTCCTAAATATAGGAACATGATAATATAAAAGGAAATGGTAGATTTGGCTAGATCATTTCCATGTAGTAGGATAGGCTCACTAGGAGTAAATTACTTAAAATGAATCACAGAATATTCCCGACGTGGGCAGGGTTCCTGCCTAAACTTTAGTAGATCAGTTGGATTCTCCAGCTGGTGGCTCGTGGGTTACATCTGGCCCAAGCTATGTGTGGGAGAGAGGGAAAAAATAGAGTGATTTAAAATATCACAGCCCCCTGTGCATGAACGGATGGACACGGGCAATGGTCAGTACAAAAAGAGACAAGCAGACATTATACACTCCTAATGAACGATAATGCCACAACCTACAAAATCCTTGCCAGAAAAACGGAACCTGTATCTGATTAAGCCTCCTTCCCATTGTATAGGAAACACAGAGAGAATATATTAAGCAAAACTACAGGGTTGCAATCTGCCTGATCCACACTGCAGAAAATTCTACAGGACAAAAAAGTTATTCTAACTAATAAATTGCACGGGGACAAAACAGAAAAGGGAGGTGAAACCTACAGATTAAAAGAAATTTATAAGATACCAACCAAACAGAATATTCAGGCCATGTTTGTATTTCAACTACCACAAACCGAAGAGACAAAACCTTCATTTTTAGGACAGTTGAGGAAATGGAAAGAGTCCCTGAATTTTAAAGATGTTAAGGAATGTTATCATTTTTGCTTATTTTGGATGGGCATGTGATGACGGTAATGTGGTTCATAGATGAAACATGATGGTGTCTGGATTGGACTTCGACATAGCTGTAGGGTAGGAGGAGGAGGGAGGGGCAGCAAGGGAATAAGAAGCTCGATGATGGGTATACGAAAACCCATCAATTACTGTCCACTTAAAAATTTTTTTTAATGTTTATTTATTTTTGAGAGGGAGGGAGAGAGAGACAGAGTGCGAGTTGGGGAGGGGCAGAGAGAGAGGGAGACACAGAATCCGAAGCAGGCTCCAGGCTCCGAGCGGTCAGCACAGAGCCCAACGCAGGGCTCGAATTCATAAACCACGAGATCATGACCTAAGACTAAATCAGACGCTCAAGCAACTAAGCCACCCAGGCACCCCAATTACTCTCCACTTTTGACTGTATCTGAAATTTTCTGAAACAGAAGGTTAAAGGTTAAGCCAACACTGACAAAAAGTTCTGGAGATCTCTCATTTAGAAAAATGAACCTCTGCTTCTAGCAACACAGCGGCATACCTGCCTGATAGTACTCAAGATAAAGGTGAGAACAGTCCGCCTTTGGATGGGGCAGGTGTTATCCAGTTCAGAGTCCTCCCCATCTCTTACTGTCTTCCTGGCAATAAATTTGCTTGTCCACTGCCTTTTACCCAGCTCTTTACCCGCTTAGGTTCCTAGTAGATTTCACTTTATAATCACTGGGCATTTGCTTATTCAGACTATACTCAGGTATACTGGGTACTAAATGTTCACAAAAACAGCACCAAAAATCTACATGGAGAATAGAGCAGAGGAAATGAGGCAGGGACAGGCCCTGTGAAGGGCTGGCAGACTGCAGTTACTTATCTGGGGAGATTTGGACTCTGTCAAGTTCATTCTTTATTGAGATTCTTGGGAAATCCATACTTATTAGCCTAGAGAACATGAGTGACAGAGGCAGGTTGGGAGGATGACTATTGTCGGGAGGAACGAAGATCCTGGTGGCAGAAGTAAAAATTTGAGGACGTTGGAGATACATAGTTGTCTGGGCCACAAGGAATTATTTTTCTGGTCTTTCAACTGAAAGAATGTTACAGTTGAAATTAGGGGTCAGTGTTTTGTACTCATAAAACTCTGTCCACAAAGGAAACAAGATCCATTGTATATGGCAATATAAATGTGCCATACACAGTATGTAAAATTTGACATAGTATCTAAGTACCCCATGATATATCGGTCAGTTAAAGTTGTTCAGTAAATAGACAGCAACTAATTGTCATAACCACCAGCTGTGTTTACCAGTAACTTTTAGCGAAATGTCTCTGGAAATGGTGATTTTTAAGAAGGTCGCAAAAATGTTTTTCATATGATGGTGATGTGTTTTCTCTAAATACCATCATGCGATATGAGCATCAGCGGGGTAGGATCAGTTTCTTAGGTTAAATAAATCAGCAAAAAGTTCAGTTCCTTTTGCATTTATCACAGCGAAGAAGGATACATTTTTCTAACGATATGATTAATCTTGTGTTACATTTTCACATTTGTTTCAGCTTAAATACTGACTAAATGATTATGAAACAGGTGCTCCAAGAATTTCAGAAATTTGCCTCCAACTTCCTCCAGCACATCTGTAACATAGTAGGAGCCACAGTTTCTAGTCAATAACACCTATTTCATAATTCTGTACTGAGATGGTCAACCGTATTTTTGGAAATGTTTCATCACATAATTTTTCTGAGAAATGTTGCTACATGATATCATTTCTGGACAACTTCTTTGCCAAACTGTTAATGCCAATGACTGGAAAACTGCTTCAAATTGTGTCATAAAATTGCTATCCATTCCTTCACTCAAATTCCTGATTATCCTATTATTGATAAAAATATAAATTCTTGACTCCCAAATAAAATGATTATTTCAAAGTCAGTACTAATTCTGTAACTACCAATTAGAATACCAATTAGGTATTTTTGCGTATGTGTAAATATTCATATAGCTAAATGAATATAAACGTTTATGTACATAAACCTATATACTTACATATAAATGCCACTGGTCTCCTAATAAATGACTCCCATAACCGCAGTGGGCTGCTGACAAGAAGTCACGAGCTGTCTTGCCCAGGAACTGATGCTAAGCACCAGACATTCAATGATAGCATCCACGATCCATGACTGAGACACTGCTGCTTAAAAAAACGTTTGTAGGGGCGCCTGGGTGGCTCAGTCAGTTAAGGGTCCGACTTCAGCTCAGGTCATGATCTCATACTCCGTGAGTCCGAGCCCTGCGTCGGGCTCTGTGCTGACAGCTCAGAGCCTGGAGCCCGCTTCAGATTCTGTGTTTCCCCTCTCTCTGCCCCTCCCCTGCTCATGCTCTGTCTCTCTCAGTCTCAAAAATAAATGAAAGCATTTAAAAAAAATTTAAAAAAAACGTTTGTATATCTGATGGGTGACCTCAAACGATACTAACATAAGGGAGAAAAAAGTTGAAAATGAGAAAAAGCACCGAATAAAGACAGGGAACCAACAGAATGAGGGGGAGGGAATCAGAGTCGCAAAATCAAAGGCAGCAAGAAATGTTAGGAACAGAAGCCACAGATGGGACTTCAGTATACGATTTGAGAAAGAAATCTTTCACTGTATTGAAGAGTGATTTGAACGGAGACTTCTGCAGGCCTTCGTCAAAGTGTGCAATATTAAGAACGGGAAGGAGAAGGTAGCCTGCTTGGAAATGCTGAAAGAAATATCTCATTGTTTCCATCCTTGGCTCTCCAGACTCTCACCGGGGTGACACTTTCTAAATTGGTAATGCACAAATAAAAATGGCAATGAATATAATTACTCGTTTTGCGGCTGTACAATAACGGAATTCTTTTGCAGCTCCTATATTATGGAAATGACTGAGAAAACAAATTCCACACAGCCTTTGAGGTCTTATAGGTGACTTTTAAATTTCACATTTATTTGAGGCTGCTGTATTTGATAGAAGTTGACATTCCTGGAACTAAGGCTTCGAGAACATTAACTCCACTGCATCAGAAAAAGAGATTTTGCTCCTTTTTTTTGACAGTGTCAAGTATGGTATATATCTTTATCCCAATAAAATAGTAAGTGATATGGTCGAACTATACACAGGTTCAAAGGACTGCATCATGAAGTCTTTTTTTTATTATCAGAGTGTGGAAACACTGCAGCAACTCTGGGCAAACAAAAACATTTATACACTTTCCAGATTTATGATAGGTTTGCACATACACTTCATTTGTTCTCACACCATCTTCCTGAAGCCAGTATCATTATTATTCTCATTTTATGAGAAACAAGAAAACAAGGCCATTTAAGTTTAAATGGCTTGCCTCGGCACACCCCCTTAGCAAGTGACTGAGCCATTAACCCCCAATTCCAAGCTCTGTCCACTACGTGTCATGCTGCCTCACCAAAGCTATTCAAGGCAGAGGAAGCTAATCTAAGCAGGCACAGGAAGGATTTCGATTCTTCTCTCGCTTGAAAAATGAAAGACCGTAAGAGGCAAGAGACGGAATGATCTATATGAACTGTGGGCCAGACAAGAAAAAAGTAAAATCTGGACTGTAGACATTTTTCTTAGGAGAGACTCTTTTTATTTTTTTTTTTAAATACTAAAAGAGCTTGCTACTGAAGAGAGGGAAAATTTTCTCTCTCTCTGGCAAGCAGAGAAAGAGACCAAATGACAGTTGGTGGTGCCTTAGGCTGTGGTGTTATGTCACCTATGTGTCATGTATGTTACAAGAGGTCCCAGATGTGTCAGGACAAAGTCTGGATCCAAAGCCTCTAGAGAGGCACTACCTCATGTCCCTATTCCTCTTGGGGAGTTCATGAATTACTCCTTTTTATCTGCCCAGAAGTTCAAGATGTTCCTAAGACGTGGCCGTAAAAGAACTGATGAGCCAATCTTGTCAGAATTCACCCTTTGTAAGATAAGTCAGAAAGAAATGAAGGTAAGCTACAGACGGGATGGCAAATAAAGGGCAGACTCCTGAAGACATTTAAGTGTCTTTAAAAAGACATTGTTAGCTCATGAATGAGCAGAAAATTAATAAAGTGAACCTTTATAAAGCAGTAACAATAAACTGTTAAAAAAGTTGGAGAGAAAAGGAAACATATGTTGACGACTAATGGAGAACATTTACATGGCTCCCTATACGGTGTTACATGCTCTGGTTTGCTGTTAAATCAACCTTTTGAAATAGTAAAGTATTTCTACTATCATCTCAGTTTCACAAAGCACACAAATCTTTTTGTTTGTATAGACTGAAAAATTCAATATGTTTGGGCTGAAGCTAACTGATTCAAAACCCAAATGTTTTGATTTGAACAGGAAGAGACAGTTGCAACAGAGTTCTTCTAAACAACGCAGCAACGAGGCAGATAAGCACTTTAAAACTGCATATAAAACACCTTGCTTTTATGTATTGCTTTAAACTTAATTTAAACGTTTACATGGCTTATAAAGTATCGTAATCTGAACACATCCCTACTCTCCTGCCTTTGTTATAGGAAGAATTGTGGCCTCCAACCTATGTGATTAAGCATAGTTACGACAGTTAATTCACAGCAGAACCAGACTAGAACGCAAGCCTCCTCATAATGAATGTATGCTCCTCCTTTTAGGCTCTGCTCCCTCTACTCCATTACAAAGGAACCTTTGGTAAGTATAATAAAGAACGTGTGCTTGATGTTGCAATTCTATTACACAATTCTGACATACACATACATAACTGAAGAATGGAGAGAGAAACCGTTGTTGTGTACTCTTTTAGATAAAATTACCATTTCTGGTCAACTTATAAATTAAAAAAAATTGTAAGTCAAAATTGAAATTTAAAAAAATGTTACGGACCACAGTCAGAAACCTATTTGCAAGTGGATATGTGAATGTATCTTTAAATAATTAGATGAGCTCTGCATAAGTTCATGTAATACTTTCCTCTTCACAAGTCTGTGGTTGGCTGTATTTCTTTCTTTCTGAGATTAGTTATAGCCCTGCCTTCCAGAGTAGTCACAGCAGAGACTCCAGAAAAATCACAGTACAGATTTCAGACTATCTTTCAGATTATATGGATTCACTGTTTCACTGTTTTGCCAAGTTGGGTTAATTCTTATCAGAGATAATTTGATATATGCATTACTTGTCTTTTTTCAAAACCTATTGACTTTTAAGGTCCAAAGGCGTTCTTGGAACATGGCAGAACTTAGTCACTTGTGCTGAACATACAGTAGATAGGTATGGGCTATCACAAACAACTGATCTACCAATGGCAAAAAAATGCATTTGTTTTATAGAAAGGAAACATTATATATATTAAACCATACAGTCCAAAAGATCTTAGACTATATACAATTTATCTTTAAAATAGTTTTTAAAATTTGATTCAGTGTATCATCTATTTTTCTATTACCAGAAACACTTCTGTGTAATCACTACATTCTCAAGGGCAGAACACTAATGAATGGCCAATGAGCCAAGGAACAGCAACTTTTGGTTAGGAAAATGCTGTTAACCATAAACTTTTTAATAGAAGCACACGATTTATTTTAGCAATCTGAATGCCCAACACAGGTCAGCTCTCATATCCTAACTCACCTCACATGATAATCAGTTGCCGGTCTGAGATCTTTCAGGTTACATTCTAATTCTTCCCCACTGCAAAGAAAAATCATTTATTAGTCAATGATACCAGCTTCAACAGTAAGACTGATTTTGGATTTGGGTCTCATCATCATGTACCAGCAATGATTAAAGAACTCTTATGTCTGATTCTACCATAAACCAGAAATAAACTTGCCAATTTGGTATTATTACCCTTCTGAACTAGGAAATTAGATTCTATACACACACACACACACACACACACACACACACACACACACACACACATATGTATGTGTATATATATATATATTTTAAACTTATTTATTTTTTGAAAGAGAAAGAAAGAGCATGAGCTGGAAAGGTGCAGAGGGAGAGAATCCCAAGCAGGCTCCACACTGTCAGCACAGAGCCAGACGCGGAGCTTGATCCCACAAACTGTAAGATCATGACCTGAGCTGAAATCAAGAGTCAGACGCTCAACCAATGAGCCACCCAGGCACCCCTAGATTCCTTTCAATGATACTATCCTAGATCGGGAAAATGGTGAGATTAACATACTAATAAAAGTTCCAAAAGGCCTTATCGGTTCTTCAAAGTAAATACATAAAAACAAATAAATAAGGAAGGAAATTAAACACAGAGATAAATTTTCAGTGTAAAATAACTATTCTAGTTGTCAACCGAAGGTAGTTCTCAGACTCACCGTGGAAGGAACCCCAATTGCTTCAACTTCTCATCTCTCTTGAAGAAATTTCAATGTGCTTTCCTTCACATATCAATCCTAATAGCTCTCTGATATATACACATACCAGTCAGTAGCTCTCTTACATAAATGAAACCCAGTTATATGACCAGAAGTTGCAAATGAAACTTAACTTAGCCATGAGGCAAAAGCCGTGACAAAATAACAAATGTTCCATTGAAAGTTTTTAAAAGGTGAGGGTTATTATTCGGGGGGGGGGGGGGCACATGGCTATACTCTTCAAAAATCTCTGTGCCCCAAAATACTGTGTTAGTGTTCCAAATTAAAGGTGAAAGACGTATGAGCACAAACTGCAATATCTGACCCTGGCCAGGATTCTGTCCTAGAGGGGAAGGAAAATGCTCTAAGACATTATTTAATCAACTGACAAACCCGGCGTGTGGTCGATGGACTAGATCAAAGTATATTATCAATGCAAATTTATGAAGCTGGTAATTACACTGCGGCGATGTCAGAAAATATCCTTATTCCTGGGAAATATACTGAAGAATTTTGCAGTAAAAGGCCATGATATATACAACTAATGGGAAAAAATACAGACTGGGAGGCGAGAAAGAGTACTCCAGTGGTCAACCAAACAGGATAAAAAGCTACTGATAGGTGACTCTGGGTAAAAGGGTCTATGCATATTCCTTGATCCCTTTATTTTTGCAACATTTTATAAGTTTGAAATAATTTAAAAAAATTTTTTTTTTTCAACGTTTATTTATTTTTAGGACAGAGAGAGACAGAGCATGAACGGGCGAGGGGCAGAGAGAGAGGGAGACACAGAATCAGAAACAGGCTCCAGGCTCTGAGCCATCAGCCCAGAGCCCGACACGGGGCTCGAACTCACGGACCGCGAGATCGTGACCTGGCTGAAGTCGGACGCTTAACCGACTGCGCCACCCAGGCGCCCCTGAAATAATTTTAAATAAAAATATGTTTTTAAAGTTGCCAACTGGAGGCCAATGTCCACACCCTGCCTGTAATTCTGATGTCTGACCTGCACTGTATGTTTAATGTGGTTTTGCATTTGCTGAATGAGTCTGGCATTAGGAAAGCTTACATAAAAATTCAGATTTTCAGTATTTTTGGGGGGAAAAAATCCAAAGAAATCAGCAATTCTAAGGCCTGCATTCCCTTATGGCACCAACCTATTTTAGGTGAGCGGTGGCTGCTCCTTCAGAGGAAGGCAGGGGTGCTCCTGTGCACCCCATCCCCAATCTTCCTCCTTTTCTCGCTTAACGTTATCTGCCTAGCCCCCTGGTCACTTGAGACCAGCTCCTGCCACTAGTGGTCATCTGGCGTGGACAGAATCTCATGGTTTCTTGGTACGGCTGGGGCAAACGGTGCTCTGTATTTCTTGACCAATGTGGACTTCTCAAAATAGAACCAAATAGTTGTGAGCTGGAGTAAGGAGTTAGGATTTTTTTTTTTTTTTTCTAAGTATAGTGGGGAATCACTGCAGTGTCTTCAGTGGGGAGTGACCCAGTGTGACCCGGTTTATGTCGTGTGGAGGCTAGGTAGCAGGAGGAGAGGAGACATTGGAAGAGGCTGAGGACATCCCTGCAGGAGTCCAGGGAGGGGACAATGGAGGCACAGTGGGCAGTGAGGGGAGGAGAGAGTGCCTAATGGGCCTCCTTCCCTGTCTCTTACCCATCTTCTTAGTGCAGAAGACATGTCCTGGAGCAAGTTAAGAACTCACAACAGGGCTGGGGAGATACAAGGTTGGTGGCACTGGTACAGCAGGGAAACGGGACAGAGAGCCAGCCTCTCCGGCAGAGGAAGAAGTGCAGTTTGTGTGACCACGCTAGGCTGGCCTCTGGTGGTCATTCTGGGGGCCACTCAAAGGGAGGTCAAACAAGCAGTGAAAACAAGACTGATGCTCTGATTTCCTGCTCTGCAAATGTGGGCGGTGCCTAGCAATTACAAAAGAGAAAAGGCCTGACCCTGAAAATTTTTAATCACATTTAGGACATGGCTATAAATCATTTAGATGGTTAATATCTGGGAGTTGGTAACACAGAAGGGACAATCCCCTACCCTGTGAGCTAAACTTATTTAAGAAAGTCTTGGAATGAAATGCTCTAAAGGCATCTTTACTACAGGCTAGAAACCTATTGTGGATGGTAAGAAACAGGATAAAATGGAAGGAAACCATATTAGAGAATTTCAAGAAAACACCAGAAAATGGTCTGGGTCGAAAAAGGTAACCGCGTAAGTGCATGATTGATGCACATAAAAATTAAAAATCATACTCACTTTTAACCCTGACAGACATTAATGGAAATTTTTCTTTAGTACTATACTGACAAACTCACATAACCAAATGATATTTCATCAACATCAATAGCTCTACAGAAGTCATTTCTGACTGGTAATTACTCTGGACAAAAATAACTCTTGACATTATAATTATCACTAATTCTTAAAATGAACTATTTAAAGAAAAGTTTGCAAAGCCTCTAAACTTTTCCTGTTTCTTATTTTCCTTAATGACTCCAACTGCACAGCTTAGCAGAAGAGCAAAACACATGGAAATATATGCTACCTGTAAATTATCTTGTATTTTCCATCTCGTCCTTTGTCTGATAAGGCAACCTCATAACTGTAGGGGAAAGAAAGACCGCTGTGGGGTCCACTGGAAAGTCCAACAGGGGGAGCCCAGGACAAAACAACTGCTCTTGCCTGAATATTAGAAACCTGAGGAAGAAAAACACAGACGAAATTATTCAAATCCGCTTCATACACATCAGACACTGCTTCTTCCAGTAACATTTTTGTCATGATTAGTAGTGGCATAAAATTGGCTTAGTGTTAATGCAAGGCGAACAATTTTAATTACAATGAAAAACACATCATATATAGTACTTTTTTGTCAAAGTCCTGGTGTCCAAAATAGCTCCTAAAGCATCTGTCCTTATAACGTAATTCACATTAGATCCTCCAGAAAGTAAAGACATCAGTCTTGTTTGGGACCTTTTTTTTAAAGGTAAGAAGTTGAGTGTGAGACTTCAGTGATCTCCACGATGGCCATCACGTTACATGGAAGGAGCCATGTCCGCAGGTACTTTCCGCTTGCCTCTGAGCCTCCCATGCCAGTACCTTTCAAATCACCCTCGTTGAAGGCCTCAGTTTCTGGGAGAACCCAGTGATGGGGGAGGAGAACCATGGCTCAGGCTGAAATGTGTGTGGAGGTGATGATGTTTTACCTCTCTAAGCTCTGCCTTTTTCTTTTTGGGGAAGCCTCTGTTTAAGACTTCATTTGAACAAAGGACTCTGGCACCTTCAAACATCCCAACTTTCTTCCTTTACTTAGAACCAACTACACTGAGGCAGGTTCCACGCCACTGTTCCTCAGCAGGACTGAGCTCCAGCCACCTCGGGCCGTAACCTGCCCACTAAAGAGACCCTGCAGTGGGCTTCCTGCCCTTCCATCCCAGGTGCCCACTCTAGCTCGTGCTTCCTGGGGCACCCCCCCTCCCAGATACACTGTTTGCACTCCAATCTTTGTTTTAGAGCCCATTTCTGGAGAAACTCAACCTAACGCACAGTCTAATTCTTTGCAATAAATCAACAGAACTTTGATGTTCTAATTTTCTAAAGGTTATTTTGCTGCTCTCTGGATACTGGTCTCAATAATATTAAAAACAAGGGTTAACATACATGCTAAAGCTTCATGTTCATAAAGACTTTATAGTGACAGATTATTAGTCTATGGGTAGAGATGCGTAAACTATTCAGTCTCCCCTTTTTTTCATCCATTTTTGTCACTATCTGATCGATACAGAGTATTAAAATGTAATACAAAATAATTTAAAAACATGAATAATATGGACCGTGAATACTGAATTTCTTTCCAGGCTGTCATTCTTTCCAAGTTTAGCAGCGACCCCTCCATATCATTTTTATTCCACACAGACAAAGCAGCAAGATCTATTTAACCAATTATTTAGTCAAATCCCTGCTCATCATTTAAGACCTAGCCAGCCCTCACTATCCCCACATAAACTTCCCTGAAGTCTTTCACCTGTCATCACTCTTCTGTTCTACAGCACCTGGTTATCTTTACCTCTGCAAATCGAGTTTAGGGCATTTGTCTACCTTTCCCACCGGACTGTGGGACTTCCTAAGGACAGGACCCAAGTCATATTCAACTGTGAGCAGTGGTTGCTTAGTAAATGTCTGTTGAATGAAAAATAAAAATCAAAGGGAGTGAGACAGTCTGAGTTTGTGATACAGGAGACACAGGGGATGGCAGACCAGCATTACATACCTCTTAAAAAACTCTGGGGAGACACTCTTAAGAATCAAACTCCACCCTTTGTGCCATGACTCCAGACTAACATCTCCTCTTGCCCTGTCCCCCGACCCTCCTGTGCTACACACCCCTTCAGGATGCCATTCCCTTTCATGCCCCTATAACTTAGCTTCTGATTTTCCTGCTTTCTAACATAGGATCTCTGCCTCAAAGAGCACCAACATGGTGAAGAGAGACGGATGCGTGAGAGATGGCCTCATAGCAGACCCACGGCACAGAGAGACCCAGAGCAGCTTGCGGGCGATTCTGGAAAGGTTTCTGTACATTCCTGCCTAAACCCATGCTGAGAATCAACCACTGTTTTCTTTGTGCTCTGGTCACATTCTGCTGGTACCTATGCTGGGCAATCATTTCATTGTACTGTGCCTTACTTGGTTATTTGTGCGTTCATTCTCCTGACTAGATTTTAAGGCAGTGCTTCTACAATGCATACCAGGATATCTGCTGCATTCTTTGATACACCATTAATGAGTCATCTTGAGGTACTGGTATCTCATAAAACTAACGGGACTTCCTGATTTTTTTTTTTCTTCTAATGTTTATTTTTGAGAATGAGAGAGAGAGCAGGGGAGGGAGGGAGAGAGAGAGAGAGAGAGAGAGAGGAGAGAGAAAGAATCCCAAGTGGGTTCCTCGCTGTCAGCAAAGAGCCGGATGTGGGGCTCAATTCCAGGAACCGTGAGATCGTGACCTGAGCGGAGATCAGGAGTCAGACGCTTAACCAACTGAGCCACCCAGGTGCCCCCAGAGATAACGTGAGAGAGAGAGGGGGACAGAGGATCTGAAGCGGGCTCTGTGCTGACAGCAGAGAGCCCGATGCGGGGCTCGAACTCACGAACTGTGAGATCATGACTCGAGCTAAAGTCAGATGCTTAATGGACTAAGCCACCCAGGCGCCCTCTCTAGTTCCCATGAGCATGCCTTAAGAAAGCAAACTGTCCTCTGAACGCAGGTCTCCGTGCACATGCACTCTTCCAATAGGCCAGACTGTGGGAAGCACACTTTGAGAACTCTACATCATTTTCAAAGGACAGCAGCCATGGCTTCTGAGAATACTTTCCTGGAGCTAAGCAGCCTGCCACCTAGATTACTACCACTGGTCTGGAACCAATTCCCCCCTGTACTCCTGTTCCCTCTCTTTCAGACTCCAGGGCTTCAGGTTTCCATTCTTTAAGGCACTGGAATCCTCCCTAGAGAAAGAATGCCTCGTCTCTGTTAGAACTTGGAACTCACTTCCGTTTCAAGGATGATGCCAGGAAATTGCATGGTGCCCTTCAAGAGAATGTCACGTAAAGGGGAACCCTCAGCACCGGATGCACACTCTAAGTGTCCAGGGAGGTGATAACCTTAATGAGAGACCCGAGCTCTAAGAACTCTGACTGATTCAGGCCTACTTCAGAGTGAAAGCAATCTCAGAGGAGCAGTAACTTCTAAGTCCCTGTCTCTCTCTCTCTCTCTCTCTTTCTCCGTGGGGAAAACTTTCTCACCAGCAGTGACCACTGAACTACACGAGGGCAGCTAATCTGACAGTCACAAGGAGCATCATGGCTGACATCCGAAAGAAGATTAGAAGCCATAACACAAACTGACTTCCTGATGTTTAATTATCAGACTGTAAATAGAAGTCAATCTCCTTTATGATGATAATAAAAGCGATGATCTCTAGTTACAAAATCATTGGGCAAGACCCAAACTGACACTTTGTTTGGCACCAGAGATGTAAAAGGTCTGTTGGGGAGGTTACGAGTAGCAAGACTTCAGAGAAATTAAACTGTTTTGAAGTATCTCGAAGGAGTCATAAAACCATCATTTATTTCTAAATAATTACATCCTGACTAGAAATCGTTGTTGCCTATATATTTGTTAAACGTAGACTCCAACTTGAGGCCAGTTGCTAGTTAAAAGTGTATATAGGTGCATATCCATTAGGACCTAAGACTGTATGATCGCGTCGCTATTTGATACACCATCTTTCACTCACCTTGTTAAAAAATATTTCTGAGTAAGTAAGTAGCTTCTAAATCTGGTCAGGACTTTGGAGTTAACTATGTGGGAGGCCTGCAGATCCAATTAGGGAGAACGCTAAGGAAATATTACCATGGAAATATTGGCTTCACTTCAGAAGTACCATCATGAAAAATAATAACACAATGGAAAAGTTAAAAGCAAAAGGTCAGAGATCGTTACTCAAAAAAAAAAAAAAAAAAAAAAAAAAAAAAAAAAAAAAAGAGAGACTCAAATCTAGGAATTTCACCATCATCTGTTTCTATAATCCCTCAAGTGCTAAGAACTGCCAAACCTTTTCAGATACACTGTTGTTTATTTTTCGAGGAATGGCTTCTTGGAGGGGCAATTGTTTCTCTTAGGTCAGTGCACTCACTTCTGGAACCGACAAATCAATTGTTCCCACAAGCTAAACATTAGCGGAGGGAAACAATGCAGGTTACATTTATTTACATCCTGAAAATAAACAGCCCGGGGGTAAGTGGGAGGCTGCATCTAGCACTGTCATCAGAGCAGATCAAAGGCTGGAGGTGGCAGGTACTGGGAGAGGTTTATTCCTCAATCACTTAGAACAGGAGCAAAATTGTTTCTCTGACAGAGCAGTGGCTAGGACTCTGGTCCCCAAGGCACCTAACTCTTACAGTCTCAGGACAAATACCTAGCAAATCCGTACGGTTTTACTCCGTGACTCAGTATTTGGATCTTTATAGTATCCAGGTTTCTGTAGAGTAAATGACTTGCTCAACTCAGTGTGCCCAAAGCTCTAGAAAGATGACCGGAACCCACAAATCTTAAAACTTCCTTCTACACCTAACACAAACCATCTACAAAATCTCAGAGAAAAAATATGTGCCTTTTATTTAGACGTGTTATCAGATGTGGCTGAAAGAAAAAAAAATCAGGAACAAAATGCCCAACTTGCTGAACTCTGCTTCTTTCCCTGGAAGGCAGCTGGACACCCCTCTCCCATTTCAGAGTGTGGTGGGGAATTTCACTTTTGCATACTGATATGCTATAAACTCCAGAGAAATACCCTATCCCAAGTCCTCTCTAAATACTCTATGATTTACTTCTCCCATAGTCCCATGTGGTATGTATCATCCTACCTTTGGAAGGTGAGGAAACCGAGGCTCAGGGAGGTCATGGAACTTACCCAAGGTCACAGAGACAGCTAAAGGCCCAGAGGGCCAGAATGCAAAGCAGAGGCCCTTGCTCTCCAGGCCTCTGCCTGGAGCTCTGGCACCAGGCTGTCCCCACATTCCACCATGCTGGCCGAACCTCATCTGATGCTGGCGGGCCTTCAGGCATTTGTCTCCCCCGCCAGAACCTAGCTGCAGCCATTGCGGTCTGCCACACGTTTATTCAGCAAATATTTGTTAAAGGTTCACAAGGTGCCAAGGACAGTGCTAGGTATTAGAGGCACAAAGATAAATAAGACCCAGTCATGAATAAGACCTTCAGACAGAGACAGGGGAGAAGAGGAAGGGAGGAAAAATGTGTAAACATCTAACTGGGCTGGGAAGGACGAGTGGGAGATCACCAGGCAGAGAAGGTTTAGGCGGGGCCAAGGGGGAAGGAATGACCCCCGTAATATGTCCCCATCCTAATCCCTGGAACCTATGCATAAGTTGCCCTAAGAGGTGAAAGGGACTTTGCAGATGTGATTCATTGCAGATCGTGTGAGACAGAAACAATCCTGGATTATTTGGGTGGGCTCAGTGTAGTGACAAGGGTCCTTATAAGTGAAAGAGCGGGGCAGGAAAGCCAGAGTCAGAGAAGGAGACAGGAGGATGGAAGGAGCCGTGAGCCAAGGAATGCAGGCAACCTCCAGAAGCAGCCGGAAAACATGAAGGAACAGATTCTCCCCAGAGCCTCCAGAAAAAATGTCGTCGCCTGCCAACAGACGCTAGCCTAGTGAGACCCATTTTGGACTGTTTAACCACTCAGATGACAATCTTACCAATTTTGCACCTCGTGTCGTATCTGTTTACATAAGAGCTGGTCTATCCACCCTGCTCCAAAAAATGTAAAGAGTAAGCACTTAATAAATGCTGAATCAAGGAAAGGACTAGTGCATTTAAATGGTGCTTTTTTTTTTATCTTGCTAGAGCCACACGATCCTAACAAACATAGACTCTGTCACTTCTGCCGTAAAGAAATGACAAGGAATAACTCAAGAAAAACCCAGTGTGTGTTCACATGATGAAGGCAGGCCTGTGAAGTTCTGTGACTGTGTTTGAGACAGTCAAATAACCTGCTGTTCTGCCTTCTCGATTAGGACTCCTGTTTTCTTCATGGAGTTTCCTTCTTTTTGCTATACCATGAATATATATACTATATACCACGATTATGTCCCCAAGCTTTTTCTAACCTCTCCCTATACTCCCCCCACCCCAGGCCCAAAAATATCATCCACTCTTACTCCCACAGCTTGAACTATAACTCTATGCGTGTGATCTGATCACTATCTCGTTCCCCTCTCTCCCCAGCACTGCCCTACCAGACATATATGACTGCCCCTGCATTTACTTCCTTGGTGCCCTGCCAGTGAAACACACTCAACAGGTCCAAGAATATCACTGGAAATCATAAAAACTACACAAACCCATTCTAGAGGAATTCACAGATTACTGGGAAAAAGCCAATGGCGTAAAGTGTATTCCACATATACACACACGCAGAGCACAGTGAAGCTGGGGGTAGTACCCACCCCGGTGGGTATATAGAACCCGGTACCCACAGGGGTTCTATATACCAGGTGGAGAATCCCACCTGATGGGCAGGGACAGCAATCAAGGGAGACTCTGGGAGGCAGCAACTCCTCAGTGGAGGCATCGGAGCCTGAAAGCCCAGCTATCTGAGAGGTCATAAAGCCTTACTGACTTCTCTGGGCAGTTGCGGTACGCATCCTCTCCTTGACACGCCTAGGGCCACCGCCTGAATTCTGCCTCCTGTACCCTCCTGCCAGAGCTACAGTAACAGATTCTTGGGGCCTGCCTCCCTGGGTCCATCCTTTTCTCACCCCGATGCATCTGCCAACCGTCCGTGCATCCTAAAAGTATAGCCCTGACTATGTAACTTCTATGCCCCAAAACTCTCGTGGCAACCTGCTCCCTACACCAGAGTAAGTGCAGACTCCCCGCTCCAGGAGTTCCCTGTGGGACCCATACTCCAACACACCTGCTTTTAGGTTTTAGTCAAACTCAACTGTGTACCCTGAGGCATGTTTGAGCTCTTCTGTTAAAAAGCCTCAGGATTTGAAACGCACGACGAGGGATCAAGGTTTTCCAATTGGGCCGGAAAACATCCAAAGAACTTTGGCTCTCTGACCTCAGATGAAAGGCTGAGTCAACGTTTTCAATTTTTCACTTGGATTTCAAAGCATTTGGCAAAATCAGACCTGAAACCTCACAATATCATCACTCCCACCAATTTTTTTTTCTTGCCATCACACTCAATATCTTGGACTTCTTTTCAGCTAATATTTAAATGCCTTTTTGAAATTTACCTGGAAAAATACTTGGAATCACTGAGGCTTTCAAAAATTATTATTACTATATTTACACAGGTTCAAGGAAATTGCCAAAAGAAAGCAGTTGTATAGACCTGTGGGAGGGAAGGGTGTCAGGGGGATGCTATGTGTCCTTGGAAGCAGGGAAGAATACCTAATTGCATTCAGAATATCTAAATAAAGGACACATTTTGGTGGATTGTGACAGAACAGAAGACTGTTGTTCTATATTTTCATGCTCCATTAATAACAACACTGTTTCATAGTTTATAAATAATCAGCAATAGGAAGGGGCCCTTTTGTTTACCTACGATGTGGTGAAAGAAAAGCACACTTGAAATGCTTAAGAATGTGTCATTTGTGCTGAGAAATCCAGAAGACATACCTGTGGTTTCTCTATTCCTGAAAGAATGTCTTGCACCCTCTTTACTTCCAACTCATACTCTGCATGGAGAAAGAGAAAAAAAGACAAGCCGTTAATACCATTAGGAGGCAATAATGTTGCCAAGTTCCTCCTCCAAGGCCTTTAACTATAGCGAGCATTAAGTCAGTTGCCCGTTACCGTGAACTTTGGGTACCACAGACAGGATCATGAAAATTCAGAATGGGAAGGACGCTGGGGTGGGGATATCACTGTGGTTGTGCTAACTTGCCACTATCTGGGTTCACATATTCACAAAGTTGACGAGATTAACACTGAGTCCCATCTAATGACTCAACAGGCAACAGAAAATAAAAGGTCCGGGGGCGCCTGGGTGGCGCAGTCGGTTAAGTGTCGGACTTCAGCCAGGTCACGATCTCGCGGTCTGTGAGTTCGAGCCCCGCGTCGGGCTCTGGGCTGATGGCTCAGAGCCTGGAGCCTGTTTCCGATTCTGTGTCTCCCTCCCTCTCTGCCCCTCCCCTGTTCATGCTCTGTCTCTCTCTGTCCCAAAAATAAATAAACGTTGAAAAAAAAAAAAATTTAAAAAAAAAAAAAAAAGAAAAAAAAGAAAATAAAAGGTCCTAAGAAGGAGAGAAATGGGTGCAGCTAGAGGCTGAGAGCAATTAAGAGATGAGGTTGAAGAGACAGTGGCCGATTCATCGAGGGCTCGGAGTTCAGATATTTTAGTTCAGGTTTTATTCTAAGTTCAGTGGGCAGCCTCTGAAGTGTTTAAGTAGAGGGACTGACGTGATCTTTTTTTTTTTTTCCCCCAAGTCTGAAAAGATCTGTTTGGCTTTGCAGGAATAATGGACATACAGAAGGCAGAAGCGACCGTGGAAAAATCAGTCAGTAAGTTGCCGCACTGGTCCAGGTGAAGGAGGACAGAGCTGGCCTGGGTTGGGATGGTAGCAAAGACGGTGAAAACGGAACTGGTTTTGGAGGTATGGGTGCTAAAGGACTGGGTGTGACAGTCAAGGGTGAGGGAATGAACAGAATCAAAGATAATTCCCTGTTTTGGGCTTGATCAACTGGATGGATGAGGATATCTTTTAATAAGACGGGGAAGCGGGCAGGTTTTGCACTGGGGCAAGAAGTGTTTTAAAAACAAAGGGAGGACAGTGCTTAGAGTAGAGAGGATGGGGAGGGAAGAGTATGTGTAAAAGAAGGGCAAGAGCCTTTAAGCTTGACTGTTTTGCAGACGAATCCCTTGACTTTCGCAACCTGCTTGATGTAATCTAATTTTGAGTTTACAGATTTAACTGTTAAACCTAGTTTATGAGGTAAATGCTAGAGTTACATGAGTACCAAGACATGTGTCCTCACCCTCAAATAGTTCAAGTCTAGTGAGGGGGAAATGAAAGCAGCAGGCAATTCCATGTGATACAAACTTTGGTATAGGGTGCCCCAAGACAGAGCATTCTAGAAGGCTTCCTAAGCACCAGCATCTAGCTGACCCTGTGGCCAAGCAGGCCACTGGAGGTGATGGGAGATGTGGAACAAGGGGGTGAGAGGTTAGTAAGTCCAGCTCTTTCGGAGGCTGTTCACACTCATTGCTCAGGTCAATCTCAAAGTCACCTTTTTTTTTTTTT